AGGCCAATTTCCACACCAAATAAGGCGGTGGACCTCGGAGCCACCGCCACCTCACACAGCTCCTTTTAAGTGTCCAAATGCAATTACCCTCGGAACTCGCCTGGACGCGGCCTCCCTCCAGCCTCCCCCGCCTCCCCTGGGCCTCCCCTCATAAACAAGTGGCCCAGCTGGGCCCCAGCTGGCCTGCCCTGGGGAGGGAGGGAGGGGGTCCCCGCTGCCTGCTGCCCGCCCAGCCTCTCAGCCCCGGCGCGGCCTGAGCTTCAGCATCCTGCAGCCTCCGCCTGCCCCGCCCCAGGCCAGCTGGGCTCGCAGGGAGCAGTCCACCCCCTCCTCCCGTGGCGGTCTGCACTGGGGCAGGGACACGGTTCCTCCGGGCAGAGGCCCGCCGCCCAGGGCAGGTGCAGGGGGAGCTCTCCTTCCAGGCTCCTTCAAGATGCCCACAGAGGCACCCACACCCGGGGCACCGCGTGCTCCTGTCGGGCGGGGAAAACGCTGGTGGAGTTTCCTCAGGCTCCCCGGCCATGAGAAAGCTGGACCAGGACAGGAGGGGCCTTTCCCAGGGGCTCATGGGAAGCCACTCCTCCCCGCCCCCATCCTCATGCCACCTCCGGGGCGCCTGCACCCCCAGGCTCTGACTGGGGTTGGGGGGGGGGACCAGGACCCCATGATGCTCATGGGGGGAGTAGAGATTGACTCATCCGCCCCGTGGACAGCGCACACACCAGGCCCCCGCAGCCGCCAGCTCCCGGCGAGCCAGCGCAGTGATTTTCCACTTGGGCCATCTGATTGCCATTAGGGCCAAGCGCAGGGGAATTCCCGGTTCCAGGGGCCCGTGGCCCCCCCCCCCCCCGGCAGATTCCGGGGTGGGCGGGGGAAGTGGCATGCCACCTGGGTGGCCTCCCTGTCCCCTGCCAAGTCCACCTCTCACCCGCCCACACCTCCCCCTCCGCGGAGCCCTCGCCCGCCGTCTCCCGGCTTCTCCTATCCGCCCCTCGGTGCATCGGAACAATCCGTGGGGGTCCCCCTCCTGGACCTGTGCCCCCGAAAGGCCCCGTGGGAGCCGCCGAGAGAAGGCACCGCAAGTGGACGGCGGACGCCTCTCTCTCCGGGACGCGCGGGAGATTAACAGCTGGACTCTGGCCACAGTGCTCGGGCCAACTTGACGTCACCAGGCAGAGAGATGAGTTCCCAGTGGGGCTCTGGGGGGGCGGCGGGGGTGGGGAGGGGACTCCTGAGCAGGGCATTCCTTCCCCAAGCCTCATCCCGCTCCGCCCCTCCTCCTCCTCCTCCCTCCCTCCCCTCCTGCCGGGCCTGGAATTGGGTTTGGGGCGGGTTCTGCGTCCAAAGCCATCTCCCCAGCAGCAGGCGCGGGCTCTGCACGCTCGGCTCTCTCCTCTCTCCTCTCTCGTTTGCTGAGGCTCCAGCCCTGCTCCACACTGGCCTGCTGCCTCGGGGATCGCAGCCGGACGCGCCCTCGGCAAAGCGGGGCCCTGGAGGACCCGGACAGCTGCAGGTAGCTCCACGGGGATCAGGGGAGGGGCGCCAGGAACCAGGCTGCAAGGGCGAAGACCAAGCAGGGAAGGGGGATGAGGTGAGCACCTTTGGGGCAGGCAGCTCCCAGAAACCACAGCCCCACGGAGGAGTCCTGAGACCTCAGAGAGGGCTGTCACCGACCCAGCAGCCTGCGAGGCTCCAGAAGTCCCAGCGGACACTGGGGACCTTCGGGAGTCCCCCCCCTCGGTGGGGCTGGCCCTGGTGTTCTGGCAGCTCCCGCCTCCCAAGCTGTCCTCCAGCCCCAGGCCCTGCTCTGTCCGCCAGTGGGTGTGGGCTCCCCCTGTCCCTCCACCACCCTCGGCAGCAGCTGGCCAACTGGAAGGGCGGGGAGGGAACACCCAGCGGGCAGCATCCCAAGCTCGGGGAGAGGGCTCCCCGCTCGCACGCACTCCGCGCTCCGCACACCCAGCCCTGCGCCGCCTCCTTCCCTGGGCACCAGCTCAGGCAGCTCAGTGTGGGGCCAGCGCTGGGGTGGGCAGAGGGACCAGCCTGGCAGCCACAGCTGGGTGCCCCCTTCCCAGGCCTGAGACACCTGATGTGGAGTTGGCATTGGATGGAGGCTGTTGGTGGAATTTTCTGGAAGGTATCACTCTGGCCAGTAAGCCTTTCAACAAGCGTTGTGAGCAGAGGATTGTCGGGGGGGGGGGGGGTGTATTGGGGAGGGGGGAGAGGGGGAGAGGCTGGAGAGAGAAGAGGCGGTACGTCTGGGGGAGTGGCTCCCGTGCTCTGGTCCTGCCCGGGTGGCAGCCTGGGGACAAGGAGAGGGGCTGGCAGGCGACTGGAGAACTCAGTGTCCCCACCGGGGACAGCTTCCCCGGGGCCCGCACGGGTTCGGGGCTGGGGGTGGGGATGGGGGAGGGAGGCGATGAGAGCTTTCTGAAGCTGAGGAGAGACAGGTGGCCAGCGGCCTCTCCTTGGGTGCTGGGTTTTGAAAGCCGGGCGGGAGTGAGCTGAGCTGGCAGCTTTTTTTTTTTTTTTTTGCTTTTTTTTTTTTCCTTTTTCTGTCTGCTTTAGCTCTTGTAGGCCCAATCCAACCTGAGGAGCACACATATTCACATGCACTCACGCATGTCCCATGCACATGACACACACATGTCTTTCTAGGGCCCATCTGGGGTCCGCTTGGCTTCTGGTGCCTCTGGGTGAGTGCAGTAGCTCTTCTCTGAGGGCTCAGAGGCACCCACGGGCACCCACCCCTCCATCAGTCCACTCCAGGCCCCGCCCAAGCCAGGCACCATGTGCAGGTCCCAGTAGCTGCCCTTGGGGGCCCTGCGTAGCTGGGGTCTTACCTGCCCCAGTGAGAGGGCTGGGCCCTCCAGCCTCCGGACACTCCCGGGTCCAGGCACTGAGAGGTGAGGGCATGGTGCAGGGGGTGTACCTGGGTCAGGAAGATTGAGGCGGGGGGCAGATCGGATGGGGTTGCAGGCTGGCGTGAAGAGCTTGGGCAAACCCAGTAGATGGTGAGGCATGAGGCTTATCCCTGGTGATGGGTACAGTGGCCCAGCCACCAGAATCAAGACTGGAGAGGCGGTACCCAGGGAGGTTGGGGAGGGGGGGCGGTTAAGAGACACAACTCCTTGCACTGCCACCTGCAAGCCCACATCACACACACATCAGGGACTCGCCCACGGGACTCCCACCCGCCCCGCAATCACCTCTCCGGGCACCTGCGCTGCCACCACGCTGTACCGGCTGCCGCTTGGCCTGGTGTTCCGAGGGCTGCACTGGCGCCGCGGGCTGGAGGGTGGGGGGGCTACCGAGGGTTAAGGAAGGGTGGCCACTCACACAGACAGCCACCCTCTCCAGCCATAATGGGCTCAGCTGCTGCGGGGCCTCCGCCCTGGCTGGCGGGGGCGTGGAGGGGGCTGCCGGGCCTGCGGAGGAAGGAATTCTGGGGGAGGAGAGTTGTGTGGGCTGCCCAGCACCTCCTCCAGCTGAGGAGAGGCCTGGCCTTTGCCCGCGCCTGTGCCCCTGCAAGACCCTTCTTCTGCACTCAGCCTCAGTTTCCCCCCCTGCACAGCAGGACTAGGTGCCTGCCTGGGGAGGCAGAGCTCACGGGGGGACCCAGAGCAGATGGACCCATGAGCTCGGCCCTGCCTGGGTGAACCTGTCTCTGGCAGGGGAGCCCCCCTCCCGAGACTGTCCCCCCTCTCAGGCCCCCCAGACCTGCCTGGCTGAGTCCAGCTGCCCCTCCACCAGCCTGGAGCCAGGGCCACGGCAGAACCCTGCCGGCTTGCTCCCCACAACGGCTCCTGCCTTCACGGCCGCTGGAGTCCCGGCCACAAGCCTGCAACGCCACGGCGCATGCAGTGGAAGTGGCCTTAGCCCCTGGGCAGGCGACCTCCCCCTGAGCCCTGTGCCCCATCCAAGGGGAATGACAACACCTGCCTTATAGCTGATCACAAGGACAAACGGGCCCTCGTCTGTTGGGCTCAGTGGATAGAACGTTGACCTGTGGACTGAAGGGTCCCAGGTTCAATTCCAGTCAAGGACACATGCCTGGGTTGCAGGCTAGGTCCCTGATGGGAGGCGTGCAGGAGGCAACTGATCAATGACTCTCATCATTGATGTTTCTTTTTTTTCTTTCTTTCTTTTTTAAAAAATATTTTATTGATTTTTCACAGAGAGGAAGAGAGAGGGATAGAGAGTTAGAAACATTGATGAGAGAGAATCATCAATCAGCTGCCTCTTACACAACCCCTACTGGGGGTGTGCCCGCAACCAAGGTACATGCCCTTGACCGGAATCAAACCTGGGACCTTTCAGTCCGCAGACTGACGCTCTATCCACTGAGCCAAACTGGTTTCGGCATCATTGACGTTTCTATCTCTCTCTCCCTCTCCCTTCCTCTCTGAAAGCAAAAGGTATTTTTTTTTTTTTTAAAGGAAAAGGACAAACGGGATGATGGATGTGGGGCAATGGGTGTGGCTGAGCGGGCACAGTGCTCAGCTCCCAGCTGGCAGCTGTTGACAGAGGGGTTGATGGTGGTGACAGTGATGCTGATGATGACCGAGCTGGCCTACCTTCAAGGGAAAGACCAGACCCCTTAGCATGTGACAGACACAGGCCCAGCCAGAGGCCACCACCTCCGGGAAGCCTCCCTGCCTTCTGGGTCTGACTTCGGGGAACCCGTGTCCCCCCGTAGGCTGAGCACAGAGGTGGTACCCAGGAAATACATGTGGGTCTCACTGGCACGTCAGCATGGTGTGAGCGAGGGGCCCAGGCAAGAGGAGGTGACTGCTCTGGCCGCCCCCATGGCCCTGCCTCTCAGGAAGCCAGGTGACTGCTGGTCACCTCTCCTTTAAGGGGAGGCCCTGGGGATGGGGCCCCGGAAGGGACAGAGCCTACTGCTGCCCTGACGGCCCTTCCTGCCTCCGCAGGTGGGGGGCGCCGGCCCGTGAGCTGTGAGCAGAGCAGCGAGGAAGCTGCACGCCCCAGGCCCGGAGATGGCTGCCAACTGCTCCTGGGAGGCCCATCCCACCAGCAGGAACAAGGCAAGTGCCCCCGGTGGGTGTGCGGACCGGCGCAGTGGGGAGGGGCAGGCCTGCCCCGCAGCTCCCCACCTCCACCCCCTCTGCTCCACAGGCTGCAGGCGGGCAGCAGGGCCCCTCGGGCCACACGGGCTGGCACTGGTCGCCGGGTCCCTCGGATCCCCGGGGTGGTCCTCAGTGAGGCCCGTGCACGGGACTGACACCCTTTAATCCTGGGGGCTTCCGTTACCAACGCACAGACCGCCTTCCAGCTCTTCCCTGCAGAGACGGGAGGATGGCTACTTCCCACGGCCACCCCGGAAGGCCAGCTCCAAGGAGCGCTGCCTGCTCCGAGTCACCCCGCTCATGTCACCCACAGCCGGGGTCTCAGTCACACCCGCCTCCTGTCTTCAGGCACCACAGCCCCCACCCCACCCAGCACCCTTCTTCCCAGAGGCCCCTGAACATGGGATTCCCTTCTGATCCAGGCGACGCGCGCTCACGGTGGGAGACACTCCGAGTCAGAGGAGGAGACAGGCTCCCACTAGCGCAGTGGCTGGGTGGGGTGAGCCCAGGGAGGGGGCAGAGCCAGGCCGCCTGCCCAGGGCCCTGACCTCCAGCCCCTGGCATTTCCCTCTCTGGCAGGACCGTGTGGAGCGGCAGCCTCAGGGGAGCAGAGATGGGACTGGCTGGGCGGAGCCTCCAGGAACCCCTGGCCAAGGCGGGGCAGGGCAGGGGCCAGGCTCCAGGGCGGGCATTTTGCAGGCGGCATGTGTCTGGGGATGGCAGCTCCCGCCCAGTGACTCACCCGGGCCTCCCGCTCTGACTCCAGGACCAGATTGCAGGCTTTTTCCAGCCTGTGGTCCGGCCAGCCCCTGCAGCCAGTCCCCTCCCGGTGACCAGGCCGGTCCTCCACAGCCTTGTTCAGGCCCCGGCTCAGAGGAGGCTGGCAGGAGGCTATTCGGGGGCCTGGTGTGGTCAAGGCCACCAGCAGGAAAGGCTGACTAAAGAGCAAGCTCGGGGCTTGGGGGCTGACAGGCGGCTCTTGAACCATAAATGTATCCATAGGGAGGCAGGTGGAGAACAGGGCCCGCTTAAAGTGACCTCGCGAAGGCTCCCCAAAGTTTGGCCAACACCCTCCAGTCCCTGTTTGTAGATTCACCCTCGACCTGACTGAGAAGGCCCCTCCCTTTGCTGCGGGGTGTCAGGCCCAAAGAGCAATCCTCCAGGCCCCGCTTCCTGCCCGAGCCGGGCCATCCGGAAGGTGGCAGAACGGTCCTGCCTCGAGGACCTTCCATTTGTTGTTGCTTTTCTGTCTTGTTTTCTGAGTCATGGGTGATGGGAACTAATACCTGGCCTTAGAGGGGGGAGGAGGGGGAAATGGGGCAGGGACCACGGCCAGGTTCCAGCCGTGTGGTGAAGGGTCTGAGATGGATCGGTGATGCCTGCCCAGGTGTGGGACGGAGTGACAGAGCTGGGGAAGCCTCTGGTGTGCGAGGTCAAGGTCAGAGCCAGCAGCCTGAGAACTGCATCCGGCGTGCCGACGGGTAGTGTGCGGCCCCCCAGCGTGTGTTAAACGTGAGCAGTTAGAGGTCAGGAGAATCGCATTACCACGCCTCCCGCCCCGGGCCCACCTCGCGCACCTGCAGGCCAGGCTGAGGTTCGCTGGACACACAGGAGCAGTCAGGTCCACTGTGAAAACCCTGATCCGTAAAGTGCTTCCCTGGGGCCAGATAAACACATGCTGCCTCAGCACCCCCCTCCCCAGGGACCCCCACACCAGACCCAGACCCCCCCCCCTTCATCCAGACCCCAGAGGTCCCCTGGCCCAGCAGAGGCCGCCTCTGACTCCCCAGGTCTCTCTGATCCCACAGTGAGCCAGGCCCACTCTTGGTCATTTGCAGGTGGTTTTGTTTTTTAATAAATATTTTCACATTTTAGCGTGGAGTAGTGCAGGCGTACAGAAAGCCTGGGGGAACAGGACGGCGCACAGCACACACCCTCAGCGGGTCGCTGCTGGCCTTTCTCCACTGAGCTCGCTCTCTCTATCCCTGTCCCTCTCTCTCGCTACCCTTTCCCCCACAGAACTGTGTGCATGGGAATTGCAGACCCCGAGCCCCTGTGCCCCCCAGATACCCTGCCTCTCCCAAGGTCGAGGGCACCCCCATACGTAGCGCCGCCCACCCTCCCGGCGGTGCAGGGCCATCATAGGTGCCGGGTGCCCCCCACCTCCCCGCAGCCATCCCAGGGACAGCCTTGGCGGCAGGTCAGACCCCTCGCAGTCTCGGACCCGGCACTGCATCCCCTGGCCCGGTGTCTCTCCTCTCCATAAAGACTCCTCGGCCTCCCTCGACCTTGCACACGTGGGCGCGTTTTGCCGGGTGTCTGCTCTGGCAGGCGGGCGACCCGGTGCCCTTGTGAGGGGGGGGCATTCCCCGGGTCACCCGTAGGCGGCTCGCTCCAGGCTCTGGGTCACAGGGTGGAGGCGCTGGGCGGACCCCGGGGTGCCGTCCGCTCCGGTGAGGGTCTGTGCCGAGGACCGGCACGCCTGGACACACACAGGTGCGGGGTGGGGCGGGGACCCCTCACGGAGCCTCCCCTCTGTGCCCGCGCAGATGTGCCCGGGCGTGAGCGAGGCCCCCGAGTTCCACAGCCGCGGCTTCCTGACCATCGAGCAGATCGCCCCGCTGCCGCCGCCGCCCGTGGTGAACTACATCTTCCTGCTGCTCTGCCTGTGCGGCCTGGCGGGCAACGGGCTGGTGCTCTGGTTCTTCGGCTTCTCCATCAAGCGGAGCCCCTTCTCCATCTACTTCCTGCACCTGGCGGGCGCCGACGTGGGCTACCTGGCCAGCAAGGCTGTGCTGTCCGTGCTGAACGCGGGCGGCTTCCCCGGCGCCTTCGCCCGGTACGTGGGGGCGGCGTCCCGCATCCTGGGGCTCTGCGGCTTCCTGGCCGGCGTGAGCCTGCTGCCGGCCATCAGCGCCGAGCGCTGCCTGTCGGTCGTCTTCCCCGCCTGGTACTGGCGGCAGCGGCCCAAGCGCCTGTCGGCCGTGGTGTGCGCGCTGCTCTGGGCCCTGTCGCTCCTGCTCACCGGCGCCCACAACTACTTCTGCGTGTTCCTGGGCCGCCAGGCCTCCCGGGCGGCCTGCACGCACATGGACATCTTCCTGGGCGTCCTGCTCTTCCTCGTCTTCTGCCCGCTCATGGTGCTGCCCAGCCTGGCCCTCATCCTGCACGTGGAGTGCCGGGCCCGGCGGCGGCGGCAGCGCCAGCGCTCCTCCAAGCTCAACCACGTCATCCTGGCCGTGGTGTCCGTCTTCCTCGTGTCCTCCATCTACCTGGCCATCGACTGGTTCCTCTTCTGGGCCTTCCGCATCCCCGCCCCCTTCCCCGAGTACGTCACCGACCTGTGCATCTGCGTCAACAGCGGCGCCAAGCCCGTGGTGTACTTCCTGGCCGGGAGGGACAAGTCCCAGCGGCTGTGGGAGCCGCTCCGCGTGGTCTTCCAGCGCGCCCTGCGGGACGGCGCCGAGCTGGCCGAGGCCGCGGGCGGCACGCCCAACACGGTCACCATGGAGATGCAGGGCCCCTCCGGGAACGCCTCCTGAGAGAGGGGCACCCGGAGGGGAGGCGGGGACCGCGGGGACCTCCAGAGACCCTCTGCCGGGGACGGGGCCCCGGGCGGCCGCCCTGATGCCCGAGGGCAAGGAGGAACGTCTGCCTCCGGCCCCCCTCGGGCCTCCTTCTCCCGGGGCCGGAGGCTCTGCCAGCGCCCGAGAGGCTGAGCGGCCGCCTGCACACAGACCCGGCGGTCCTGCCAGTTCCCCCCCCCCCCAGCGTTCTCCTGCCTGAGCAGCACCCACCGGACTGAGGTGTCCTCCCCCCGTGGGGGACTCTGCTCACCCCAGGCTGGTCTGGGAAGGAGAGGAGGGGGCCACCGAGCCCCGTCCACCTGCTGCCCCTCTGAACACAATGCCCCGTTTGAAAGTGACACGGCCATCAGGGCACCGGTGGGCCACCAGCACCTCCCGCCGAGGGGCCCCTGTTCCCGCCACGCCACCCCCTCGGGGCAGCGCTGGGGGCAGACCTGACACGGGGAGCCCTCTGAGCGGGGTCCGGGGTAACCTGCCGGGGGCTCAGTCTTCCTGCAGGTGATGTCCCTGCCCCCTGGGTGAGCCCTTGGAACGTTCACGGGTGTGTTTCTGGTCCCGGCAGCCAGGGGGGGACAGGAGGGCCTTCACCAGCGCAGAGAGGTCACCCGCCTTTCTGGCTCCCTGCCAGCCTCGGAGCCTTCCGGAGCACAGGGCGCGTGCCCGCTGCCGCCCGCCTGGGCCTCGGGTGCTGCAGACCGCCCGGAAGTGGGCACTGACTGGCTCTACCTGGCCACCCAGCCCACCTCCAAGCACAGTGGCCCAGCGTAGCCAACGGAAGTTTTATGAAATAAATGTACATCAATAAACGTTTTATATCTTACTTCCTCTGTCCTATCCACGGTCCTGTTCCTTTCTTTAAAAAAAAAAAAAAAAAATTTTTTTAAATTGATTTCAGAGAGGAAAGAAGAGGGAGAGATAGACAGAAGCATCAATGATGAGAGAGAATCACTGATTGGCTGCCTCCTACATGCCCCCTTCTGGGGATCAAGCCCACAACCAGGCCTTGCGCCCTGACTGGGAATTGAACCGTGACCTCCAGGTTCATAGGTCAACGCTCAACCCACTGAAGCACACTGGCTGACCTGGCAGTCTTATTCCTTTCCATACACCCTCCCTCCCCACAATGCAACCTGCTCTGTCCCAGCCCCTGGGTGTCCTCTGCCGGCTGGTCTGTCCTCCCTCTGAGGTGCTCCCTCTCCTGGCAAGGAATCCACCCTCCTCGGCCACACCGCCCTCCCTGCCTCTTCCACCCACCCGTCCCAAACTCCATGGAGCAGAGCCGCCCCTCTGCCTGGCACCTCCCCTACTTCACCGCATGGGCTGGGGTCCCTCCCAGGAGGTAGCTTCCAGGCCCAAATGCATCCTGACTACCCCCCGGCTTCCAGTCTGCCCCACCGTGGGCTCCCGGTGTCCAGCACGGGCCCCGGCCCCTCCGTGGACGCTGCGGGGCAGCCTGCTCACTGCACAGGCCCACGGAGAGACCAGGGAGGGCAGGCCCCTCCTTTGTGGAGAGCCTGGCGCCGGGGAGGGCAGGAGGGTGGCTAACGGAGCGGACTGCTCAGCCAGGCAGCTGCACCGCCAGCGGCTGGCATCCTGCCCACGTGCACTTTCCTGAGCTCTGGCCCCGAGGCAGCCGACGCGCCCTCCTGGCCACTGCAGGCCATTGCTCCCAAGCCCCCGTCCGACAGTCCCGGCCCCGCCTACCCCAGGCCCTGCTCTGCAGAGAGGGGGGGACCCTGTGCGGTTCTAGAGCCTCAGGTGATGGCGGTGGGACCGGCCCGCCTTTCTCCCAGCAGCCTGCCAACCAGGCCTCTTCCTGTCTTCACCTTCCGAGAGGGCGTGCATGTTGTCCGGCACTGGCCCCGCTTTCTCGAATGCCAGCCTGCTGCGGGTTTGTGATAACCTGGCTTTTCTGTTGTATGCCAGAATTTTATTTTATTTTTTTAAATATATTTTTATTGATTTTTTTTTTTTTTTTTTTTTTTTTTTTTTTTTTTTTTTTTTTTTTTTTTTTACCGAGAGGAAGGGAGAGGGAGACAGAGTTAGAAACATCGATGAGAGAGAAACATCCATCAGCTGCCTCCTGCACACCCCCCACTGGGGATGTGCTTGCAACCAAGCTGCATGCCCTTGACCGGAATCGAACCTGGGACCTTTCAGTCCGCAGGCTGTCGCTCTATCCACTGAGCCGAACCGGCTAGGGCAGAATGCCAGAATTTTAAAACCCAAGATCTTCGGCGTGAGCACAGCTTCCCCGGCCCAGAGGACTCCTTCCCGGGAGCCACGGGCTTCGGGCTCAAGGCAGGCTGGACAGATGGTGCCGTTCTGGCCCCTCCTCCCGTGCGTGGGGAGAAGCCAGGTCCGGGAGATATGCCCCCCACGCAGGCTGACCTGGCCACGGCTGTGCCAGCGCCCGGCAGGCCCTCCAACCAGGACAGCCGAGTGAGAGAGCAGGAGAGCACATTTGGAGCCCGAGGGGCTGGAGAGCAGCCCGGAGGGGCTCGGCGGAAACAACGGGGCACAGTTCACCCGCGAGGGCTCATGGAAAACTCGGCTCAGGGCATCGGAATGCCAGCGACGTTTCCTGGCAACCCCGCAGGCTTCCCCGCACAGACATGTCTTCAAAGGGTTTCTAACGGGTTTCACTGCGGTCTGTCTTACATCCACGCACCCACTGCATGCACCGTCCAGTGCTCTCTGCCCGTGCGCACACCGTGGCTTCCCCACGTCGATACGGGGATGTGTCCATCCCCCCCACCCCCCACCCCCCAAAAAAACATTCCCGTCATCCGGCAAAAATCTCCTCGCAAACCCAGGCAGCGGAGGCAGCCGCTCTGCTTTATGCCACTGGAGAGTATCGATTACCGATTACAGATCAGTTTCCTACACAGATGTTTATACCATAGCAGTCAGGGTGCTTGGTGACAAGCACAGAAACCTAACTTTACTCTAGCCTGGGAGGGAGAGGGGACGGGGTGTGCAAGTTGGGGAGTGAGGGGGCAGTTCTAGAAGCGATCTGCACCTGAATCTTGGTTGGCCGAGCCCCTCACACTAGGGCCCTGGAGTGGGAGGTGGGCCAGGGGCCTGGGAAGGATGCCCCACCCATCTCACCTAAACCCACCCCTGCAGGCTCTCCATCCAATAGCCTGCAAGGAACATAATAGTGCGTGGCTTCCTTGCTTGCCATCAGCTCCATGAAGTAGTAACCAAAACCAGGCCCCTTGTAGAGTCACAGGCCGTGATTCTAAACCCGGGCTGGACACGCTCACTCAGCACAGGTCTCAGGACTCCGCCCCCGCTCGGTCCGAGGCTGAACGGCCTCCCTGAGACCTCGGAGCAATGAAAACAACCGCCCTGGAGAGGGGAGCAGAGCTGAGCTGCCTCCTGTCGCAGGGAGGGTGTCACCGTGTGCGTCATCCCGCCAGGCCCAGCCACGCGCGAGCACCTGAGGGAATGCCTTTTCGCTTACATAAAAAGCAAAGTTATATGTAAACGCACAGCCCAAAACCTCCAAGGACACAATCGCACCATTGACAGCGACGTGAGGATGGAATCAGGGCAAGAGCTTACTTTTGGTTTAGCATCCAGATCTTTCCAAGTAAGACTGGTGTTTCACGTATGCAAATGCTTTTTGTGTTTTTTTTTTAAATATATTTTATTGATTTTTACAGAGAGGAAGGGAGAAAGATACAGAGTAGAGAGTTAGAAACATCGATGAGAGAGTCATCAATCAGCTGCCTCTTGCAAGCCCCCCACTGAGGATGTGCCTGCAACCAAGGTACATGCCCTTGACCGGAATCAAACCCGGGACCTTTCAGTCTGCAGGCCGACGCTCTATCCACTGAGCCAAACCAGTTTCAGCAACGTATGCAAATGTTGAAGGTCTTGAAAGCACGAGGAGAGATGGACACTGTGGTAACGGTTGTGGGGAATAACACATTTCCACCTGCCTTCCGTGGACTCCATACCAACTCAGACAAGGCTCTGGAGGACAGGAGTTTAGGGTAAAGCTAATGGCGGAGTCTGTGTGTTAAGCCCTCGTCCATCAGCAGGTCATTACTGAGCGTCTGCTATGTCAGCTTCCTGCTAGGGACCCGGGGACACGGAGGTGGGTCAAGTCATATGTAGGCCAGGGGAGAGCTCAGAGTCCACGGGGCACCCCGCCTGAGCAGGCATGGTTCGTGTTGTGGGGTCAAACCCTGGAGTCAAAAATAAGACCATCTACCGAGGCCAGTTTGGCTCAGTGGTAGAGCGTCAGTCTGCGGACTGAAAGGTCCCATTTTCGATTCCGGTCAAGGGCATGTACCTTGGTTGCGAGCACATCCCCGGTGGATGTGCAAGAGACAGCTGGTCGATGTTTCTCTCTCATCGACGTTTCTAGCTCTCAATCTCTCTCCCTTCTCTCTGTGAAAAACCAATAAAATAAAATAAATAAAATAAAAAAAGACCACTGGAGGCTGCTAATTGATTTAAAAAGAAGAAGAAGAAGGCAAGAATTTATTGAACTGGCCAGGATGGCCACGAGACCACCACATGCAGGTGGAGTCCACACTCACGACCGCGCCAGGTGTAGGCAGTCCTTTTAAAGGTCTAAACCACAAACATTTTCCTTTGCTCTGAATTCTAAATTCTAAAGGCTGGGAACAGCCCGCAGGGTCGTTCCCAGCCACATCCTGCTGGACGTTGGAATGTGGACCTATCTTGTGAAAGCAGACAGTACAGAAGCAGAGCTGAGCAGTTAATCTCTAAAGGTTATCTGCAGTTTCAACTCCTGGAGCTGCTGAGCCCGTGAGAATCAATCTCCTATGGTCCTGCTCCACAGGCACAGGGAAACTGCCTCAGCCTCCAGGTCTCAGTCTGGAAGCTGAGGCAACTACCCTATTGTTTAAGCAAGTAAGTGAGCGCCGAAGCCAGAATAACAGGGTTAAAATTCAAACAGCAGTTTTCACCTAACT